GCTGTGGATGAGAATTTGAATGAATAGATGGTGTATGCAGAAAATATGTGCAAAGACAATCTACTGCAGCCCTGTTTACTAGCCAAAACCCGAGGGGGACCGCAGGACGTGGCCAAACGCAACAGAAGAGCTAAACATGGGAAGTGTATGCAGCACCTCCTTCAAGGTTGGAAACATATGTCTGTGTGTACCTCAGTGCATTTAACTGTACTTTTCTTCCCAATAACAAGAGCAACACAACAGAGAAACAAATCAGCCAACAGAGGTCACTTACAACACACCCCCGAGACTCAACTCATGGTTTTCATATTACACGAGGACAGGCGTGTGCTGCTCACCTGTAACCCCAGCAACTCAGGAGGCTGAGGCAGGAGGATCACAAGTTCAAGGCCAGCCTTAGCAACTTTTAGCAAGATTCTGTCTCAAAATAAAAAACATAAATTAAAAAGGGCTGGGGATGTGTGGCTGAGTGGTAAATTGTCCCTGGGTATAAGCCCCCAGTGTCAAAAAAAAACCCCCAAAACAAGAAAGCCAAAAAACTCTGAAACTTAAGTGTACAGCGTGGATACCTCTACAGGTGGACTGTATAGATATAATTCAAATTGTGACATAGAGTCACGGTATGGATGTAAGGTAAGTTATGAAATTATTACCCTATGCCCACCAAGTCAGGGAGATCATTCCAACTCACTGTCTGCATTATCGATGCTGCACCAAGACTCTGGTGTGATGTCCCAGATTGACCATTTTATTTATGTAGGAGGGACTTCCACACATGAGTCTTCTGGGTCAAAGTTCCTAAGCATTTACGTTTAATAATACTTTCACAATCCTCTTAATTTACTAACACTTTTTAATAATACTCCCAAGAATGGCATTGCACTTCATCTTTTACCAAGAGTGTGTGACAGTTTCTTCCGTCCTCACCAGCCCTGGATGCTTCCAATCTTCTCAATTTTTATCAGTAAAGGAGTATACAATAATATTTTGCTATTTAGAGTTTCTTGGCCTGGAGTGAGTTATTGTGAATATCCTTTGTCCATCTTGCCACTGGAATATTTTTTTCTGGTCAATTTCTAGGAGCTGTTTGGAGACTAGGGAAGTGATTTCTTTTCCTGTTGTTTTTGTTGCAAATTTCCCCTCCCCCCATTCTTACCCTGAGTATGTGTAAATATTCTCTGAAATATTCTTCACATGTTATCCCCTGCATTTAGGAATTTGATCTGTCTAGGATTACGTTTGACTATGGTACAAGGTATCGTCTGGGTGTCTTTATGAGTGTCCTTCTTTACGAGGATCAAGCCATGTTTTAACAGAAGCACTCTGTTCTTCTGAATTGAAATGCCACCTTCAAATACACATTCCTCAATCGCCCAACTCTATTTTGGTTGATTTTTAGAGTTTCTACAATGTCCTACTGATCTATTTGTTTTCTGGTCTTTTTCTTTCACTAATTTTCTTGCAGTAGGTCAGCAGGGGCTCAGCAGGAGACCAAGGGCCCACTCAAGCCGGACAACAGGGAGAGGCTTGCCAGTTTACAGAAGCCCAGGAGGGCCGAGTGCAGTGCGCTGTTACTATCCCTATCCCTAGGGGGCGCTGGAGGCCATTCACACCAGCTGGCCACAGTCCCTGGTGGACACAGAACTTCTGAGCAGCTTGAAACCAGCCTCCGTGGGATATCGACACCAAGGAAATTGGCAAATGCTCCCCATCCCTGGAGCCTGTGTTCAGCACCTACCCGGAAAGCTCAGGAAGGAAGTGTTTTCTGGAATCTGGGGAGCACAGTTGCATGGACAGGCTGTCTGACGGTAGTGGTCAGATGTGGCCAGTCCACGGTGACCCACAGGCAAGGAGCTGGGGGAAATATCCCCACTTTGACCTTTCCCTACTTTCCTATCCACCTCCCCTGTCCAAATTCACCCAGGTGCCAGAGGACGAGGTAGCTGGGGACACATTCACAGGACAGAGGAGTAAAGGGACAGATGGAAACATCCAGCCCGAGACAGACAGCTGAACCTCTAGTCCCCCCACACCCCTGTCTTCATTTTAAAAAATTTCTTGGCCATTTTTTTATCCATATTAAGAAAAAAATTAGTAGATACAAGGATTGGCACTTCATGTCATTTAAAGATGAGTTTAAACACAGGGCGATGTATAGTCTCAGATCTAAGGTCCCCATGCTTTCTAAAATGTGATTGATCAATATACAGCATGGCTACCTCTGCAGGTTTCCACGTACAGAAATGATTCAAATTGTGACATAGAGTCGCAGTATGGATGTAAGTTATGAAATTATTACACTACGCCACCGGGACATGGAGATCATTCCCAACTCATTGTCTGCATAATCGATGCTGCACCAAGATCCTGCACCTGCACCAAGATCCTGCACCAAGGTCCCACACTGACCATTTTATTTATGTAGGTGGATTTCCCAGTGTGAGATTTTGTAAAACCCAGACTGTGTGAAATTCAGAGTTTCCCAGCATTGAAATTACATGAAATTTGGAAAATTCTCATGTCTTTTTAAAATTTGAAAGTACATGTCTTTTTATATACTTCATTTATTTAGGCTTTTCTTTCTTATTTTTTTTTTGTTTCTTATTTTTTAATTAGATCTTAGTCATTTCCATGTGAGTCTTGCACTTTTCTGTTCAATTCGTTTGTATTTTAACGGTTGTGAACACTGATATGAGTGGAATATTTTTTCTAGGCTCATTTATAATCAGTTATTCCTAATAAAAAGAAAAGCTATCGATTTCTTCCTACTTAGTACATATTTAAGCAAATGATAAATTACCATTTGCTATTATTATAGTCCCATGTGCACATCACTCAAGCAGGCTCTTTTGAATTTTCTAAGTTCGCAGGTATATGTGATCTGCAAAAAAGGGATCGTCTTGCCTCTTTATTTTGAATATTCTCACCACTTATTTCATATCCTTATATAATCGCATCAGCTACAAACTCTGAACGCAGGGGTTGCCAACCCACACCTGTCTTATTTCTTATTTTCTGGGCCTACATCATTTTTCTTAGCAAACTGTTAGTTTGTAGAAAACATTTCTCTTTGGTTCTTGATTTTATTTACACTTTTCTGTAGGAATAGCGGTGGCGTCTTACCAAATGCCATCTTGGTGTTTTTTATACCAACCCTGGGCCCCTGGTCGGGTTTGCAGCGGTGAAGAGGAGACTGGGCCCTATCAGCAGAGCTTCTCATGTCTCGCTCCCTGCCCCCTGAAGTCCGCCCCCCCCACACACACACACAGTGTGTTATTCTTTCAGTGTGACGCTGGGTTCTATTCGCTGACACTTCATTGAGAATTTTAGCACCTTCATTCATTAGTGGAGATGACCTAATTACATGAAGAATAACAAGCCGTGGTGTTAAGGTTGCACTTTGAGGAGTGGTTGAGGGCCTTTGCCTCTGTTTCTCTGGACCCTAACACCCTGAATAACATTCGGGGCATTTTCAACAACATCTTCCTTTGTCCTGGGGTTGGCTGCCTTTGGCCGTCTCTGACCTCTGGAGTCAATTTTGGCCCTTTACATTTTGCTTCAGAGTCACCTATTTTCTCTGGACACCATGGTTCTGCCCTGGATCCCAGAACGGTCTTGTCGTCGTCATTTTCTCCGTGTTTGGGAGCACCCTCTCTGTCTCGGGCCTGATGTGAACTACTTTCCTTAGTTTCCCCAAGAAGCTCACAGCGATTCTTCTTCTTCACTTTGTTTTTGCCAAGAACTGGCGCTCGGCTTCGTGCTGACTGGTGCAGTGTGGCACGATGGGACAGGGACTCCGCTTTGCTCAGCCTATCGATTTCAGTGCTAACGTCATCTAAAAAGTCCCCAGAGAGCTACTCAGAATAGTGCTCCACCAGGTACCTGGGCACCCTGAGCCCATCCACCTGACACCTGAAACCGAGCCTCGTGTCCCCCACCACGTCCCACCGCACCCAGTTCTCACTGTTGGGGGGTCTCCCTCCAAGCCTCAGCCTGAAGCCTCTCTTCCCAGGTCCCTGGCCCCTGCTGGGTCTCCTCTTGAGTTTCCTCATGTCACCCTGAGCCTGCTGTGGTCCCTACGGCAGGTGGTCCTTCTCCACGAGCAGCGCCCAGGCCCCGCTGGCACCCGAGGCCCCCACCCGAGGCCCCCACCCGAGGCCCTCCAGGAGTCCGCCAAACCCGCCTCCCAGGGAGCTTGCAGCGGGTCCCACTCCAGGGCACACCAGGGTCCCTGATTCTTCTGCCCTCGGGGCTCCATGCTGCCGCTCGGCACCCCACAGTCACCCCCTGCTACGTGCTGCCCACCTTTAGGCAGTGACCACCGGGGGACAGAGGTCAGAGGTCAGAGGAACCCGCAGCAGGAGCTGTGCAAATGCCGACTGGCGAGTGACTGATGTGTGCCCAGGGTGAGAGGATCTGGGGTGTCAGGCAGTCAGCCGCCTCGGTGACAGCCCTCTTCATCATCAGGCCCCTGGAACCCCTCACCTGGAGCTGGCAGAGTGGGCCTGGGTGCCGGGTTTCCTGCCTTCACCCCATCGAGCTGAGCCCACGCTCCAGCCTGGACAGAAATCCCTGTGTGGCCCCTGTTCCCCTGGAAATCCCCCCCCATGTCTTTTAAATAATCATAAGGATAATAAAAACCAGATAATAACGTGTTTATCACATGCCAAGCACCGTGCTAAATACCCGGCACATCTCAGCCCACTGCATCTCTCCATAAACCCACAAGGTGAGCACGATGCCATCCCCATTTTACAGACCCAGAAACTGAGGCTCAGGGAAATCCAGTCAGTGATTCCAGGTCACACAGCTGGTAAGTCAAGGAGCCAGACAGTCTGACCCCAGCCAAACCTCACACAACCACTAAACTATATAATCATAACTTCCCAACATTTTTTACCGCGTGACTCATGGTAAAAAATACTTTTTATACCATGACGCAGTTCACATATATGCACCCACCCACGACAGGCTGAAACAAAAGTTTCACAAAGCAATACTCAGTTCTTATCATGTGCCGTGCATTCTATTTCCTTAAAAATAAATGATGGTCATAATCCAAGGCAATTAATGGGCTGCTCATTCCGTCGGTTGAAATTAGGTGTAGGCCACTACACAATGCTGCTCTTTATGATGTTTTAAATTAAAATACTTATTTTCTTCTGTAGGCATAGATGGGTTCTTTCTTTTGTTTCCTGTGGTACCGGGGACTGACGAGGGGCGCCGGACACTGAGTTATATCCCCAGCCCTCTCTTTATTTGGAGACCAGGTCTCTGGTTCACTGAGGCTGGCCTTGAACTTGGCAATCCTCCAGAGTCCTCCTTGAACTTGTAAGTCTCCAGAGTCACTGGGTGACAGGCACATGCCACCACACCTGGCTGCATCGTTTCTTAGGGATACGTTGGTAGGCAAGACAATGTCCCCTGAAGATATCTACATCCCAGTCCCTGGAGCCTGGAAAACCGTTGGGCTACGGGGAAAGGAGTGGTAAAAGTCACAGAGGAATGAGTTCAGGCTGGTAATTAACCGACCTGGAGAGGGGGAGATATCCTGATTCTGGGGGGCCAAAGCTGACCACAAGGTCTTCCTACCTGGAAGGGGGAGGCCAGAGGAATGATGGCTGGCTTTGAAGATCAGAGCAGAGGAACTCAGGACTCTGGAAACTGCAGAAGGGAAGCAAACAGATTCTCCCCTGACGTCCACGAAGGAGCGTGGCCCTGGTGGCACCTTGATTTTCGTGGGTGAGCCTGTGTGGGACTTGGGATCCACAGAAGTCAAGGGTAACCAACTTGTGTTCATTTTAAGCTACTAGATTTGTGGCTATTTGTTACAGCAGCAACAGGAGACAAATACAGACGCCTCAGAAACCAGCGACAGTGTTGCTTCTGGGGAGCAGTCTACCATGCGGCCTGCGCAGTGGTTTCATTAATGAGGTTCTAGGCATAAAGTTAGCTAGA